TTCTGCGATTATGTTTGGAGAGAGAATTTTTTGTGGCATGTGAAAATGAGCATTCCCTTATGACTAATGTGCTCTGACTCAGTACTATTACACGGCCTCTTGTTTTCATTCAAGAACTTTGCCTTGGAGGCTTTTTTCCCCTAAAATCTGTTGACTTCTTTAAAAAAAAAAAAAAAAAGAAAAAAAGCCAGGTCAAAAACCCTGCGGGTTCAAGCACTTCTTCAAACAGCTGAGAGTTGCGGAGAAGAGGAGGTGGCTCGGGATGGGAACCACTGATGCCACCCACGCCTGTGAGTTGGGGTCCATGGGACCAGGAGAGATACCCGCAGGTAGGGGAACCTTCTTGGGTCGAGAGGGGTTTTGCAGGAGCTGGCTGCTGGCTGCCCGACGTTGCTATGGGGCTTTGAGGAGTGCTTCAACCCGGTGGGGTTTTTGCCTGCATTTAATATTTTTCATCTGTTTGTTCCACTGAGGCAGATAATTACTTTAGCAGAATAAATAGCAGGTTTTAAAATAATTTCAGGAGAGGAGAGAGGGAAAATTGAGGTGCTCTGGAAGGAGGAAAAGAGTTATAAAATGTTTTGCCAGCTGGCAGAGACGCAGCTTTTAGGAAGGGCCAGGCAGTTTTGATCAGCACTGGCAGAGCTCTGTTTCGATTGCCCTTCTAGCGTTTCTTTACATGTTATTTTAAGCAGCTGCGATTCCTCCTTGGTGGGGCTTCAGGCTAATTTCTGAACACCATAAAACGTTTCTGCTGCTGGAACATGAAGGCTGTTCTCTGAGAGCAGGAGGACTGTAGGGTGCAAAATATAACAGCGTGCTTCAAGGGGCTCATGTTGGCCTTTGCAGTGATCGGTCCAAGCAGAAAGTGACTCCTGGATCCGTCCCGGCGAGTTAATTGAATTGCACATACTTTTGGACGAGACACAACTTCTCCAATCCCTTCGCTGCGGCTTTTTGAGTGCTCAGAGGTTAATTTTAGCCTGTGTGCAAACTGAAGCCTGGCTCAGTGCAAGCAGAGAGTGCCTGGAGAGCCAGGATGAGTGAGAAAGCACCTACTGCATCCCTCCTAAATGCAAACAGGTCAGAAGCGCTCTGTTCTGCTCGTCAGATAACTAGCAAAAACACTGGCATGGGAATTTCTCCTGTGGATCTTCTGAATAATTGGTAGTAGGAGCTGGCTGGGATGCTTTCGCTCTCTCTCAGTGGCTGCCTGGGATTCTCTCTCCTTTTTCGATGCTGGAGCAGGGTCATAGGCCAGGGGTTTTGCTGCTTTTCAATGCGGGGGTGGTTATTCCCAGCCCGCTCTTCCCGTGTCATAAGAGCAAAATCTGCACCCGCAGCAGGTCAAGTTTGAAGGGTTATTTTGACAGCAACTTGCCTTTTGGGAGTCGAGTTTATTGCTAGTCTTGTTTTCCTTAAGAAAAATAACACAATGTGGGTGTGAAAACTTGAGGATGGTTTTTTCTTATGCTGAAATGTTTAGAGAATGAGGATCTAGCAAAGTAGAGGTATTTGAATATTTATCACATTGTCAAGTGGTCTGGTAAGGCCAGGCAAAACTTGGTGCAGCTTGTCCGTCCGCAGATCTGCACAAGCACATGCTATTGAGAGGCATCGAGGGGTTTCCCCGCTCCTCCTGCCTTTCTGAAATCGGCCTTAGAGATCCTTTTCTAACCCCCAAGCTGATTTGCGCCCGTGGTTAACATGCTGTGTTGTGTTGTTCCCAAACCTGCTCCAGAGGATTGAAATTGGGATTTAATAATTGGAAAAAAAAAAACCCTTGGTAGCCAGGCTTTCGTTCTAGTTCTAGTTGGAGGCTGGTAACAAGTGGTGTCCCTCAGGGGTCAGTACTGGGCCCAGTCTTGTTTAACTTCTTCATCAACGACCTGGATGAAGAGTTAGAATGTACCCTCAGCAAGTTTGCTGATGACACCAAACTGGGAGGTGTGGTAGATAACA